CACCGTTTGGGACCCACCTGATGGAGCCAGTCTTGTGATGTCTGTCTGTCTGATTTCCACTTGTTCCTAAACTCAGCTAAACAGTGTGCAGTTAACTGTTGGTCTTACCACCGGCCACCGCTGTCCTCGGTCTCGTTCCCACTCCCCGGCCTCCTTCCTGGAGCCAGACTTTGCTGAGTGGCCCTCTGGAGGTTAGGATTAAAATGGTCGAATCAGTTCGACAAGACCCGGGCAAACAGGTGGTTTTCGAGTGCCCGTCACGGGAAAGCGGCCTGTTTCCACAGCGTCTAGATGGCACCGTGTCTTCTGCCCTTTCAGTTGGTCGGCCGTGGGTTGTGGCCTCCGGCCTGCCGCAGTCTGTGGCCACGATACTGAATGTCACAGTGACTTTTCCCTTTTCCTTAAAACAAGAGCATAGAACATCAGAAAGCCGTCCTTTGTTACTTAAAATCTCCTTTAGTTTCCTCAGATTTTATCACCAAATGATTCTAAAAGCCCATTTGCCCTGGTTCCTTTTTTCAAAACAAAGTGTCGGTCATGGAACATTTGGTCTCCAGATCAGTACTTCTGTCCTTTTCAACTGCATTATAAGGACCAGCCTTAATGGCGGTTTCTTCCTTCCTTACTTCCAGCTCTTTCACTCCTCTGTGTTTTCTACTAATGTCTGCTGCTCACCCAGGCCCCAGATCCCCGGAGCTGATGAGGCTGTGCCTCCAGCATCTCTTCCGTCCCTGACAGCTTTATGTCTCAGATCCGTTACCTCTTCCCAGTCCTTGCCATCACCCACACCCTGCCCAGTGCCCCTTTCTTAAATTTCAGCCCGGCAGAAATGTACTAGCACCTGCCTCTTACACAGCGTAGGGAGACAGAGATGAATAAGGCAGGATTCTCTGTCTAGTTTCGATAACCCGTTGACTGATCTTCCCCCTCTATTCCATCTAATGAGATACTGCCACATTGATCTTCACGAGGCTGAGCCCTTCGATGGGCTACAGAATGCAGCTACTTCCGCTGGCACTGGAGACCCACCAAGAGCTCGTAGCTCTACCTGTTCTGTGCTCTGGCCAAATCGAACTGCTGACTGTTCTCCAGATAGGCTCGCTGTCTCCTGATTCCATCCCGTTACTTAGTAAGAGTGTCCACTCTGGTCTCCCCATGGCCACATCCTGCCTTTCAAGATTTGGTTCATAGATCGCCTTCCTCCCCGTCAACTAGTGGGAAAAAAGCATCCTGTCTTCTGAACTCTTCCCTTTTGTGACACGAGAGACCCCCTGGGTGGTGGTTAAGAGCCAGGATGCCTTGGTTCAAATTCCAGCTCTGCCAATTACTAGTTGTGTGACCTTGGCAAGTTACTTAACCCCTCTGTGCCTCAGTTGCTTCGTGTGTAAAATGAAAAGTGTAATAGTTCCCACCTCCTAGAGTTTTGAGAAATAAATGGGGAAACATATGCGAAGCACTTAACACAATGAGTTGTATTCATGCACGGGAGGCGTTACATAACCGTTCGCCTTTGTGATGTGCGAGCATATATGTGAGCCCGTGGATGTTGCCCATCATGATGTAGTTTACTGAGAGCAGGGTCTGTGTTCACATCTGAAGCCCAGACATTAATGAGGTAATTCCGTGCCGTCTGTTGGGCGTATACTGTGGACAGGGTTCTGTACTTGCCCCTATGTAATATTTATAGCAAAAATAAGACTGTAGCCTTTAACGTTTGTCCGTACCTTTTCAGTAACCTTTGAAACAGAGTAGAAAATCATTTACACTCTTCTTTCTCTTCCTTACCCTCAGGAAGCATTTAACTGCATATTAAAGTAATGGGCAGAGTGCCAGCAGTATTCTGTGATTTTGAACTTGCCCCTTTTTAACATACAGATCAAGCAAATAATTTAAAAAAATACATATATTCTTTTAGATTTCTAAACCTGTAAATAAACTTCCCAGTTTCTTCCTCCTTTCCCCCTGAAGTAAATTGACTAGTCCAGACCTATATACCTAACATGGTTTCCCTTCATTGAATCTAATATTTCGGTAAATTGAGGTCTGTAATGAAATTACCCCGCTGTACCTCGTAAAGGAAGTAAATAAAATTAAAGTGTGATGAATTTCTATATGTGTCCTATGAGAATATATATTTTTTGGAATTTATTTACCAGATAGTTAACCTTTTCAAAATAGTAATAATTTTGTTACTGTGATACTTAATGTGGCACCAGCAAGCCTTCATCACTTTTGACGGACATGTTTCAAATGGCCATTATGTAGCTGGTGCTCTTTTTAAATTATCACAGAGAAACAGGAGTTTGAACTTTCTTCCAAGTTGGCTCTGTGTCCTCACCTGTCATGTCCTCAGGTCCGCGTGCCACCTAAACATCTGTCCCC